AAAAAAAAAAAAAAAAAAATGAATACGAAGTTATGAACTGAAAGCATTTCTGAAATCAAGATTTTTTTGAAACTTTTGTGGTACTTAGTAAATTGTTAAAAAAGAAAGCCAATAATTATTAATTTGTCTTTCATTTATAGCCGGTTGCCAAGGCAACAGGGTTCTATCTTATACTGTACAACAGGAATTATCCTGCAGTGGCTCCAATCAGACCCGTGAGTATGTTTCAATGAAGGAAATAAATATTATCAAAACTTGAGATTATTAAATTGGCTTTACCTAGTTAAAAATAATTTTTTCTAAATTTTGTACTGAATTATGTATTTCACACTTCTGCTTTAGACATTTGTCCAGTGTCAGTCATATTGTACTTGATGAGATTCATGAAAGAAATCTACAGTCAGATGTTCTAATGACTGTTATGAAAGATCTTCTCAACTTTCGATCTGACCTCAAAGTAATATTAATGAGTGCAACATTGAATGCTGAGAAATTTTCAGAATATTTTGGTGAGTAAAGTTTGATTATTGTGTTAGAAAATGTATCAGAAAAGCAGTGAACTTAATTCTTTAAAAAAATGACACAGTATAGAGTAGTCGAAACAAATAGTTAGCAGTTCATTTTATTTAATTTTATTTTACCCCCTGGTGTCATAGATTGGGGAATTAGGTCTGTTTTTTAAATAGTGGCATTATCTCCATTCTCATGGTGAAGACATGTCGATTCTTACTGTCACAATTTAGGTGGCATCACTGAAATCAAACCCATAGGTGTGAATAATTTTATGAGTTTTTTTGTGATTCTTCTGTGGCTTTTATGTCCTTTTGTAGACCAGGATGGCAGATTACATGTAATGTGTTGTAGCACTTCTAGTAGCCCTGTATGGAATACTTTTCATGTGCCAGGTGGTAGATTTAGCATTTTGTTTTTATTAATTCTCCTAATATCTTGTGAGGTAGATACTATTATTATCCCCATGTTTACAGATGAGAAAGCATTCATGAAGTTCATGAAGTAATTAAGTAGCATTAATATCTTTTACTTGGACATATGTTAGTAGACCATCAGTCCCCCTGAAAGGATGGTGGGCTGCAAAATTAGACTAATGAAGTACCGTATAATGGAGTTAGATAGGGAACTAAGATAACCAAGGTCAGTGAAATCAGTAGAGGTGGGTAGGTAGTATCAAAAGTTTCAGGACACCATCCTTTCAGGGGGACTTACTAACATATGTCCAGCATTAAATGGCTTACCCAAGTTAGCGTAATTAGTAGAAGGATGAGAAGATCTTAAACCAGGTTTGACTAGCTTTAAAGTTTATCCTTTTAAAATTATACCTTTCTTTTCTGCTTGTAATTTTAGAGGGGGTTGGTACAGAGGGAATTGAAGTATTATATGGCTAATAAATGTTCTTGGTTTTTGCTTTAAGTTTTACAAAATATATTCTAGTTGATTCTGAAAGCCTTGTAAGATTAATTCAGGCAGTTATTATTATTATAGTATTTTTTTTAAAAATGAGACACCCAGAACCAAGATTGAGTACCTTGCTCAAATTCGTGCAAGTCAGAACAGTGATACCAGATAAGACATTTTGACCTCTGATATGATGTTGGCCTTTGTTTAGAGTATGTGCCATTTGTTATCAAATACAAGTAGTATTTAAATAACAGTAATGAGATAAATTTTTTATTAGTGATTCTGAAATAGTAAATAACAATTTAATACTGGTTAGGTCTTATTTTGACTACCATTTCCCCCCTGAATCTAGGTGCCACAGGTATAATGTTTCTTACTTAGATTTTAGTAAAGCTTGGATTCTGATATGGCACTATCTTAGTTAATGATGAAAAGACAATAAGAATTAATTAATTCTAATTAATAAGTTTTGAATGAACTCAACTTAAAATATTTCTCTACTCTTTGATATTCTCTGTTCTTTTATAGAACTATGAGATGTCTGTAAAGGTTGGTGGCAATACAGTAGTATTGAGTAAAGAGTGTACTGCTACTTTTTATTAAATTAGATATGGGGAAAATAGAATAGAACTGTAAAAGCTACAGAACTGTTTTCTAAAGTTATGAATAGTAAAGAGTCATAATTTTATTCACAGTATTTTTTGTTTAATTGAGTACAAATTTATATTGATGTTTTTGTCTTTCATGACAGGTAACTGTCCAATGATACACATACCCGGTTTTACTTTTCCAGTTGTGGAGTATCTTTTGGAAGATATAATTGAAAAAGTAAAGTAAGTAAATATTAGAAAATAAAAGTACTAAATGTCACCTTTCTCATCTCACATTGTAGTCTCAGAAACTACCACTGACTACTCCTTTATAAAACATTATTTTTCTGTAAATTGGGGATTCACAAATTTGGCTGCCCATCAAAATCACCTTTTTAAAATCCACATATTCAATTCATACTATGCACCTTTGTCACATTGCAATGTCTGGGGTGGTAGCCAGGCATCAGTATGTTTTTTGAAGGTTTTTGGACAGCAAAGTCTGGAAACTTCTGTCTTTGATATTTGAACCTCTTTGGTTCTCCAACCAGTTTTTCATTCTCTTTTGTTGGGTTTCATTATGTACCCTTTCAATAAGATTTCACCTAGGGATCTCAAATTTTTGTATTTTCACTGTGCTATCCTGTTTCCATGGCCACTATATTTTATATTTTCACTCTGCTGTCCTGTTTCCATGGCCACTGTATTGTCATGGCTCTCAGATTAATAGCTTCAGCAGTAAAGTACTTCCTAAATTCTAAACTTGTTTTCTATTTGGCATGTGTCCTTTGAGGCAATGTGTTTTCCTGTAGGCAGCATATGGATGGCTTGTGCTTTTTTATCCAATCTGCCAGCCTGTGCCTCTTCAGTGGAGAATTAAGTCATTTACATTTATTGAGAGAATTGATAAGTGTGGTGGAATTTTATTCATCTTATTTTGTGAAAGTCCATTGCTTAGTTTTATCCTTTCTACCACTGTGGAAACTAGATTTTGTTCTTTAGTTTCTGGATGTTTGGTTTGCTGGTGGTGCGTTGTGATGGTCAGTGTGGAGAATAGATCTAAGTATTTTCTGTAGAGCTGGTCTTGTGGCAAACTTCCTCAGTATTTCCCTATCAGTAAAAGATTTGATTTCTCCATTGATACTGAATCTTAGTCTAGCAGGATACAGAATTCTGGGCTGAAATTGTTTTGTTTAAGCAGTTAAAAGTAGATGACCATTCTCTTCTGGCTTGAAAACTTTTATTTGAGAAGTCTGTTGTCACCTTGATGGATTTGCTCCCGTAGGTTAATTGGCACTTACTCCTGGCAGCTTGCATTATGCTTTACTTTTAGCACATTTTTAGAAATTCTCTTACCAAAACTATTATAAGGATATTTATCTCTCAAATAAGAAAACTAACAGATAATGTGGTAGAGAACCAATGGTCTTCTAGGTCATTGAGTGTAGACTTTTGACTGAATTCAAATTTTACAGAACAATGCTTTTAATAAAGGACAATTCTGTCTCTAAAGCCTGCATTCCACCTTCTCATCCCCCCACCTCAGTCCGTCTGGAGGCTAGCCTCTAAGTCAGCGGTTCTCAACTTATGCATCATGACCCACAGGAACTGTATTAAAGGGCCAGGGCATTAGGAAGGTTGAGAACCTCTGCTCTCAGTGAACTCAGGGAGACTTCGGGATTAAGGTGTAGGTTTATTTTCTTTGACCGCCACCTCCCATGCCTCACAGAACCCACATTGGTAGGTATAATTTTTGGACGGATGTGCCCTGTGTGTTTTTAGCAATCTCTGGCGTGGTAGAGTCACAGTATAGCACTGGACTGATGCATGGGATACTTGAATGCTGATCCGGGATCTTCTTTTAGCTATAACTATGTGAGCAGAGTTAAATAGTTCTCCAGCATGAGTCTGTGCGTCTGTGGATACAGTGCCTAAATCTCTTGGGGATGTTAATTAGAATTCTTAGGTTAACAGACCTCGGGGGGACCTCCTGAATCCAAGCAACGCAGGGTAGGATTTAGGAATATGTGTTTTTCAGTCTCTGCAGGAGATTCTTATGTGTGTTCAAGTTTGAAAAACATTTTAAAAATCTGAATCTTTCAATTAGACAGTCATTAACTGTTACTTTGGACTTACATAGGCTTAATGTTAACTTTTGTTTTAGAGCAAACTTAAAATTGAAGGTAAAAGTTACTCTGTTTCTTTTTTGTTTTTTTTTTGAGGACTAAAGATGATCTATATGTTTATATTTTTCAATGGAGAAGAATGATTTTTATCTGAAATACCAAGTTTTATATCTTGATGAACACCAGAACTATAAACTGATATTTTAACTAGCACTAACTTGAAAATATAGTGAACATGTTCTTTAGAATCCTTTTTCAAATCCTAAATGTAAAAAGTCCCAGATACTAACTAAACCCAAAGGTTTTCAAAAGGGAAGCTATTTAAAATGTTTTTATTTTAGGTATGTTCCAGAAGAAAAAGAACAGAGATCCCAGTCTAAGAGGGGTTTCATGCAAGGGCATGTAAAGAGGCAAGATAAAGAAGAAAAAGAAGCGATCTATAAAGAACGCTGGCCAGATTACCTAAGAGAACTGCGGACAAAGTAGGTTTATTTTATTTGAAGGTGAGAACACAGTGGCTAAATGACTAAAAAGGCAGGTGGGAGGAGGGTTGTCTTTTTGAATTTGCACATACTTAGAGTCTCCTGAATCTCATATTCCGGCTGAATACTGTGCTGATTTGACTGTTAAGCACTATTATCCCAGTAATTTTCTCTCTGTAGATTACTTTCCTCCATTTGTAGATTGAGTTAATTTTAAGCTTTTATAGCAAGATAAGCCTTAAGAAACTTCATCAGGTGTTTTATGACTTCTCTTTAACTTTGGTAGGTATTCTGCAAGTACAGTAGATGTTATAAAAACGATGGATGATGATAAAGTTGATCTGAATTTGATTGCTGCTCTTATCCGATACATTGTTTTGGAAGAAGAGGTTAGTTGTTTTTTTTTCTTTAAGTAATAAAATTTTAATTTTATTTACATATCAAGGCCATGAAAAAAATATTTTTTCTAATTACTTTTAAATAGATCATGGGGGCAGCACCTGTAGTTCAGTGGGTAGGGCGCAGGCCGCATACACTCAGGTTGGCGGGTTCAAATCTGGCCCAGGCCAGCTAAACAACAGTGACAACTGCAACAAAAAATGGCCGGGCGTTGTGGCCAGGTGTCTGTAGTCCCAGTTACTTGGGAGACTGAGGCAAGGGAATTGCTTAAGCCCAAGACTTGGAGGTTGCTGTGAGCTGTGACACTCTGGCACTCTACTCAGGGCAACATAGTGAGACTCTGTCTAAAAAAAAAAAGATCATGGAAGAAATTATTTGTGACTAGATTAAGAATCTCAAAGTAGTAAAATAGGTGTTTTACATGTTTGAAGACTAAACAAAATATCTGGATTATAATTTTATTTTTTAAGAAGCTTGTGTTCTTTTATTAAACTGAGCTAGTATAATTTTAATGAGCACTTAAGTGTTTAAACAGTTTTACTGTATTTTGTTGATGTGATCCTTTATAATGGTCATTTCTTCTTTATATAGGATGGTGCAATATTGGTCTTTCTACCAGGTTGGGACAATATCAGCACTTTACATGATCTTTTGATGTCACAAGTGATGTTTAAATCAGGTATTATATAAATCTTACTTTTTGCAATTGCACATACATGTCAGCATTTGAATTCACTATCCCATATGTATTTGGTGAAGTTTTTCTGCAACTCATTATCTTAAAGCTTAATTTTCTTTTTAATTTTCAGATAAGTTTCTAATTATACCTTTACATTCACTGATGCCCACAGTTAATCAGACACAGGTATGTTGTTAAATGTATTCCTTTTCTATCTTTCACATGGAGGCAAACTACAAGGACTGTTTATTATTTATTTTCTTTAATTTTTTAAGGAAGCATTTTCAAATAGTAATCCATATAAAAAGAAATGTCTTTGAGAACCTTTGCAAATAAGACTTCATGAGATGATTGCACAAAAAATTGAATAACAAAGGGTAATCCACAAAATCAAATTAGTTTTGTCAAGATTAAGGGAAAAGTTTAAAGAATTGGTTTTACCAGTAACTTGTTTGGGTTTCCTGAATGAAAGAAAAGGTATGTTGAGTACCACTAAAAATAACTCAACCAGTCCCATTACTTGTGACAGCTAGATGTTTGAAATTTTATTTTAACAAAATTAGTATTTTTGCAGATACGAGATTTCCTGTTGAATTAATACTGTATTACGCATATTTTAGTTCCATCAGAAAGAAGTATTTCCCTAATTAAAATGATCAGTGTATTCTCAGAGGCCAGGTAATTTGAGAACCATAGAGTTTGCAGGCCGTGGCAGAATGAAATTGATGAGGTCATCTGCCTCTCTCCCCTTCTAGTTTCTCTCCTCTTTTTATAAGAAAATATCAAGGTATTTTTACTGGGATCCTTTTAATATCCTTTTTGCTGGCACCTGGGTAAGACTCAGCCAGCTGAATTAGGTATAAAGGATACATACCTGGGGGAAGAAGGAACTCTTGATTCTAAGGAGCATCTGGTAGAGAGGTACTTCCATCTTTGACACCATAACCTGGTCAATTGTGTGTTCCTTTGTTGGAGAATAAGTGACTGGCCCGGGAAATACTCCCTCTGTTGATTACCATTTTTATAAATGACGAGTTAAGTTGATAACATTACTTTTGCGTTGTACTCAAGGGTACTTGACTACCTATCTTTTGGGTGGCATTGGTGGGGAGTGCTGGGGGAACAGTATTGTTGGTAGGATTCAGCATTTGGAGAGGATATTTTCTTTAACCCTTTGAGGAGTGTTCAGAAACAAAACATGCCAATTGAGGTGTGCAGCAATTGCAACAATAGTTATGATGCACGGCGCGTTCCTGGGTGTTCTTTGGTTTCTTACTAATCAAAATAATTCACCAAAATTGGTTTCAGTTTCAATATTTTATATTTACATTTAGAAAAAAGTAATATGCAAACAAATTAATATGAAATGTTAAAGCTTTACCATATCAATAAAAATTTAGTAATCCTTTTTTGTATGATATAGCTCAAAACATGGTTCGATGCATCATCTAACACTACGTTGCATTGGGGTTTGCTTCACCTTTTATGATTTGTGCAAACAGCAGAGCTCCAGAGGGTGTTTGGCCATATTCCTGTTGGATCGATCACTTTACTTTGATGAAAAATGTTCATCTGTCAGAGGAAATGGATTGTTGTCAGAAACAGTTCTTCCTCCAGAGTTAGTCATGTTGTCAACTGGATATTTTTCCAGAATTTCCCTAATTAGGTATTCGTGAAATTGTATGAATTTTTTACTGGTTGCAGTTTATAAAGTACATGTTACAAACTGATAAATCAAGCCTATGGGGAAAAAAAACTTTTCTGTACCACTTTGATGTTTTCTGTGTAGTATTTATAGAATTTAAGTTCAAAATAGGTTCTGCACTTTCCTTGAATCAGATTCTGAGGTACTTGACAATTTACGTTTTTTGTGAGAAGTATTTTTAAATTACCTCTATGCCCAGTTCTCCAACATCAAGTTTTCTGAACTTGAGGACTCCTTGAATTTTTCATATTCTGTATTTATATATACTCCTACAAGAATCTGCTATTTGTACAAATTATTTCAGGCACAAGTATGAAAAATACTGAGAAGGAAGTATATCATGCTTACAGACTCCAGGGAGGTAACAGAACAGTAACATGTGGTTTTGTTTGCAAGATGAACGCCTGTAGGCATTTGCACCACAGGAAGGAACATCTTGTATTGAACTAATTCCTAAAGGCCTCATTCCTAGCAAACATCTTGTTTGAACATCTGTAGGCATTGTTAGTAGTGAAAAAGTTAACTCCTCTGAGGTTAATAAGCTAGTATGCAGTGGTCCAAACCAGCAGTCTTAGTGGTCAGTGTTGCTACCCATGTAGGTTTGGCCTCTTCATTCTTACCCTCAAAGTGACCTTTTCTCCCTTCTCCTTACACCCTCCAGCTTTTATTAAAAGACATCGTATAAATCAAAATCATGTTTCATTTGAAATTTTATTTGCAATAAGATTGTGACATCTGTAGGAGACCCAGTTTGGTTTACCCGAAGGGAATTTTTGTAGTATTGAAGATGGATGATGTGTACTTTATAAGTGTATCTATCAATATTAGATGTATATGTCAGTGAATGAACACAGAATGCTAAAAATGAACAGTATGTAAAGTAATTCCTGTAATTGCAAAAATAATCTATCAAGAGATTAATGTACATTTGCAATTTTGATGTATTTACTCTTACAGGTGTTTAAAAAAACCCCTCCTGGCGTTCGGAAAATAGTAATTGCTACCAACATTGCTGAGACTAGGTAAAAAATAATTTTAAGTATCAATTACTGATGATTACGTAAATTTTGAGCACCATAAAATATTAACATGTTGTGATCTCTTTTCTGACAAGATACTTTGTAATTTTGTAAATGTAGGCTTTCTTAGGAAGCTAGTCATAGCAGTAAGCATGGTTTGTTTTTTTAAAAAGCTTTCACAGTTTTAGCCTTCTTCAAATAATAGCCTTCTTAATGGATTTTTTTCAGAGCTTTCCTAAAAAAGCATGGGAGCTGAGGTTCATTTTGTCTCTTGCCCATTTCTGGCTAGGAGTGGTATTCTTTGAAGTTAGTTGGTCCTAGCCTTTAATAATTCTTATATTTCCTTGGAGGTACTAATATACACTTTACTCACTAAAACCATTTGTTTTAGTGAAAGCTGATACTCAGCTGTGCATTGGGGGACCCATGGAGCTAGGCATCAGGCAGGTTGTGAAGTTTGACTATGGGCAAATAAGAATTCAGCAAGTGATCCATGTCATTGGCATTATGCTATCATGTAGCTTCTGGTGCTGCCTGTAATGTCAGTAATTGTGAAAAGAGTGGTGAAATTCCTGAACGGCTAAAATCCATTTGGTATGATAGAATGTGCTCTGAAATCACTAACTATAGGCCTCTTATAGGTTAATAGTGCTTTCGATGTCTTTTTTTAACATTTCATATATCTTGTTTTCCAAACAGCATTACCATAGATGACGTAGTTTATGTGATAGATGGAGGAAAAATAAAAGAGACACACTTTGACACTCAGAACAACATCAGTACGATGTCTGCTGAGTGGGTTAGTAAAGCTAATGCCAAACAGAGGAAAGGTCGTGCTGGAAGGTAAGTACAAACTTTTTCCAGACTCTTTAGAACACCCCAAAATTTCATGTTAGCAGAATATTTTGCTGACATTTAGATACTTATTAGGAGATACTGTTTTGAACTTCATGCAGGTTCTCTTTAAATAAGAAAGTTGTTTTAATGATAGTTTATTTAGAAAAGCATCCTGCTGAGTTCTCTAGTTTATGAATTTTTTACAGCCATTTCTTTAGTCTGGTTAATTAAAACTAATACTTAATACTGTTATGTTACTTGTAATTTTGTATCCATTTCCCTTTTTAAATGCATATATTACCTAATAATAAACAGTTAATACTATTAAGTGTGAGATCATGTCCTCAACACTTTATATATTAACTTCCTTAATCCTCACTGTGGTGCTATGGGATAGGTTATTATCTGCATTTGAGTGGTAAGGAAATCCAGATATAAAGAAATTAAATAACTTGTCCAAAGTCACACAGCTTTGTAAGTAGCACAGCCAGGATTTTAATCCAAGCAGAGTCCAGCTCTTTAACTGGACTTAGACAAATTTTTTATCATTAGTTGCCAAAAAAAAACACAAAGCTTTTTTTATTTTCCATTAAAGTGACAGTAGCATAAGAAATTTTCCAGTCTTAACAGTAAGAAAAATGATTTGTTTTGAATTTGTACAGATAATTGCAGTTGTGGCTGTCTTTTAATGTACACATAATGCTATTTTTATACTTGTATTACTCATTTTCATATGAGTGGTAGAATCATGTCTGGAGTTGCAGAAGATAGTTATTCTTTTGCCTTTTATACATAGAATAAGAGATTTCCTGTTAAACTTTGGGTATATTTAATACTTGGATATATTTTTATACTTTTGGGTATATTTATTTAAGTGAGGAAAGGAGAATTGAAAGAAAACATTACAGACCATTTTGTCACCCCCTTTGTTTGAAGTTTGTATAGTTTCTGAAATCTCTGACTTGCTGTAGTCTTTGCATGTTATGATAGTATAACTTAATTTCCAAGAATTGTATTAGATTTTGCAGTTGATCTTTTTGAATGAAAAGCATGGTTTAGTCAAAAAAAGTGTACTTTTCTTTTTTTTATTTTTTTGAGACCGAATCTCAGGCTGTTGCCCTGGGTAGAGGGCTGTAGCATCACTGCTCACAGCAACCTCAAACTCTTGGGCTTAAGTGATCCTCTTGCCTCAGCGTCCCACATAGCTGGGACTACAGGTGGCTGCCACAACGCCCAGCTATTTTTTGGTTATAATTGTCATTGTTTGGTGGGCCCAGGCTGGATTCGAGCCTGCCAGCTCCCATGTATGTGGTTGGCACCTTAGCCACTTGAGCTACAGGCACCGAGCCAGAAAATGTGTACTCTTAATTATCAGGAATAACTTCCTAGGGGACCCAGCAAGACTGGGATTTGCCTGTGCAGACCCATCACCACTGAGTACTGATTCAAAATATATTCACCGTAGTGAATAGGTTTGGCATACCTTTATATACAGATGGTAAACATGCTAGGTCTTAGATTTGATCCATAAAACAATTAGAGAAATAGTATGAATAGAGTTGATAACATTTTAATGAGTCTTTCATCCCCACTACTAAAGTCGCGGTTAACTGTAGAAATAGGCAGTTGAGCAATGGCTAATTAGATTGACAATGGTTATTTGTGAGGCCAGAAATAGCTGTACTCTCTGGTTCTCAATGAATGTACTCCTGTTTTAGTTTTTGCCAAAGAGACATTTGGCCATGTTATGTAATAAATAGATGATCAGTCTTTGTAGTCTCATGGCAGAAATAGCCAAGATGTTTAGAATTTGTATTCCTATAGGACCAAGAGCCCATACAAATATTTATTCTGCTTGAAAATATGTTGAATGTAGTTATCTCTTCACATCTATACTTATCATCATCCAAAAAATATTATTCATGTTATTAGTTGCAAGCATAAAACAGAAAATTTTAACATACTTCCTAGAGCTTACTAAATACAACATACAATGTTTAAAATGCTTTTTGGTAATGTTGGCAGGATAGCATAATACTAGGATTTGTTATGTAATATGATCACAAGGCATATTTGAGCTTTGACCTCAGTAGGCTGCTGTTGCTGAGCATAATTGACATCTGTTGAAACAGGGAAATCAAATTATTGGCAGAAGAACTGGTGTATTTCTCTCTTAAAACCTGGACAAGAGATAGAAGATTTGAGTTTTTCCTAAGCAGATGCAGAGAAAGAATATATGATTTCATAGAAATATAATAATTACATAGATTAGTTATAAAGTGACTTTCTCTGGAGGTCTAAAAAGTCATTGATAACTCCCTTCCACCTTTTTTTAAGAGTTCAGCCTGGTCATTGCTATCATCTCTATAATGGTCTTAGAGCGAGTCTTCTAGATGACTATCAACTGCCAGAAATTTTGAGAACACCTTTGGAAGAACTCTGTTTACAGATAAAGGTAAATTGGATGGGAGAATTAAGAAACTAAACGGGAGTGATTTAATTTTCAGCATCTTTTGTAGCAGAAAGTCCTGTATCTGCAAGAAAGGATTATTACCACGCACTTGTTTTGCTTCTGTGTTAGTAAATTGTGTATTAAAATTTTTTTCAAATGTGTATTAAGCAGTTTTGAATTGTGTAGTGGTCTGGAGAAGCCAGGCTGGCTGTGTGAGTCCTACCTCCCCTGAAAAGCTAGTTCTTTTTACTTTGTGCAAATTACTTAAATTTCATAAAATTCTTGAACAATGCCTGGCACATGGTAAGTGCTTAGTAAATGTTAAGTAATTTTATTATATCTTAAAATGTTATTCTTCATTTTAAACTATTTAGCATTTTTTAGCATCTTTTAGTTTTTGAAATCTTATTTTGAAGATAATTAGTAAGCAGCTTGCTTGTTGATTTTAAGCAGCTTTTCTTATGAGAAATTTAATAGTTTCTGGTAGAAAGTCTGTAGGCCTTTAGACATGTTTTTATAGAGTACAAGTATAATTTTAATTCATTTTGGTAAAATAACTTAAAAATCAACGTACAAGTTTGATGCTTCATTTGAATGATCAGCACAAGTGAAAGTAAATTTTTATGTCAATAATGACATATATTTAATTATATTTGTCTCTCTGTCTTGCCCCACTTTCAGATTTTAAAGCTAGGTGGAATTGCTTATTTTCTGAGTAGGTTAATGGATCCACCATCGAGTGAGGCAGTGCTGCTCTCCATAAGACACCTGGTAGAACTGGTAAATTTGATTTTTTTAATTCTTTTTTAAATTTAGAGTTTGAGAACATGTGAGCCAGTTAATTGTAAACTTTATTCTCATTACTGCAAAGTAGTCTGTGATTTACAGTGCCAAATTTGATTCATCATTTGGCTTTCCAAGTAGTATGTGAGATTTGCTGTGGGTTATAAGTCTGGGCCCTTTCTGCACAGTTTTATTTCATTGCAGGCATGATTTGAAATTACATAAAATTTTAAAATATTAAAATTACTAGTCTTTATATGTCTTCCTAAAATGAGCTTGATTGATTTATTCTATTCTTTCTAATTACCATAATGTTTTTAGAGCTTTTGTCCAACTCAAGTAACTTAGTAACAGTATGGTCATTAAGTAATCATTTGAAGGAATACTAACAGGTGTCCTTTCTCCAAAATAATACACTATGCTACTTGTCATTTTAGTATTATAACTTGTTTTCTTAGGACAAGGTTTTCTGATTTGATTAGTTCCTTTCTAATGAAGTCAGTGTTTTTAAGAAACTATTTCTAGTTTCTTCAGCGACCACTTATTAGCCATATCTGCACATGCCCAGAAGGCACAGGACTAGATGCTGCTTATTGCTCGGAGTGGGAAAAGGTGCAGGGGGTTAGAGCTGTGTTGTCTAATACACATAGCATCAGAGCCATAGGTGGCATTTGAAATTTTGAATTAGATTGAAGATTCAGTATCTCCTTGCACTCACAGATTTCACTAGTTGCCACTATATGGGGCAGCGCAGAAATAGAACATTTCCATCATTGCTATGAGTTCTGTTGGTTACTGCTGGGTTAGAGGGTAGCAAAGACACATTTTACATATTTCACAGGGTTTTTTGGGCCATCCATGCAGGTAATCTTTGAGAATTTGGTTATATTGGAATATTGTAATAGCTTTTATCACAACAAATTATTTAAATGAAAATTGTAATACATTATCTCACCATCTCTATGGGACCTTGTTTTAGATTTAATAAGGTTCCTGATATTTTAGGAAGTGGTGAGGTTTTACTGTTGACCTCTCTTCCCCTGTAGGCTTTTATCTCATAGAATATGACAGCTAGGTAGTGGTCAGAGAATCAGTGGTAGTGATGAATAACCAGAGGACTCAGATGGATTCAGAAGCCACTCAGAGTGGGATGACTTCCTCTCTCTCAACTTAATAAAAAAGCCAGTCTTAGCAATTTGTAGGCAACACAGTCATGAAAAGGTCAGCAAACTCTTGCCAGTGATGGGGTCTGAGGCCCATATTAAAAATATATTTTTTATTGTGAAATATAGCATGCACATCTAGAAAAAGCAAGCAAAACAAAGATGTGCGGCTTAATGATTTGTCACAAGGTAAACACCGTGTGGTAATTACTTAGGTCAGGAAGTGAGACTATTCCCAGGATGCTACACATCCTCCTCATACCATACCTGTTCCAATTACTCCACTGTCCCTTATTCCCAAAGATAACCTCAATTATGACTTTAATGCTGGTTAGTCTCTTGCTTACTTGTATTGATGATTTTACCATAAAAGTGTACATCTCTATGGAGTTGAGTTTAATTTTGCCTGTTGGGGGAACTTTACATGAACTCATGCAGAATGAGGGGCAGAGCTCTGGATTTTTTTCACTTCATGTTGTGAGATTCATCTGCATTGTTGCTTTCAGCTATAGTTCACTTCTTTCTTTCTTTCTTCTTTTCTTTCTTTCTTTTTTTAAGCATATTGTGTTTTTTGACTACTGAAAGACATTTTTCTTATTTCCACTTTGGGGCTATTACTATAATGCTGGTGAGAACATTCTTCAATAGTTGGTGTTTCCTGGTTCACTGAGACATAAGCTGTATAAGTATGATCAAGTTTGATAGCTAATGCCCAACAGTTTTCCAGAGATGATGAACCACTTACACACCTATACCAGTGATAGGTGAAAGTTCCACTGCTCTGTAGTTTCACAAGCCCTTGGTATTATCAGTCATTTATTGTAGCCATGTTGTTAGGTATGTTAGAGTTTTAATTTGTATTTTCATAACTGTCATTGAATTTGTAAGCACCGTTTTATATTTTTTGTCCCATTTAAATAGTCACGTTTATAAATTTTCAGTGCCTATTTTTCTGTTAGGTTGTAGATCATGATACATTTCTTGCGTACTCCTTATCTGAGCCGTTCATCAGTTGTGTATTACACGTGTCTATATTTTCACCTTTTTTCTTTTTAATAGTATCTTAATGAACAGATATCCCTCATTTAATGTAGTTGAAAGTATCAGTGTCAAAGATTATTACTTTAGTATCAAAGATTATTACTGTTTGCCCTTTAACAAGTCTTCACCTATTCTGGAGTCATGAAGATATATTTTTAAAAAGTTTATTGTTTTGTCTTTCTCGTTGATGCTTGAATCCATCTGCCGCTCATTTTTTTGTGTATGTAGTGAGGTTGGAGTCTACGTTTTCACGTATGTAGATCCAGTAGACTGAGCACTATTTATAAAAAAATTCATTTTTTTCCCTTTGTTTTGCAGCCTTTGTCACAGATGAAGTGTCAGTAGACTTGTGTGTCTGTTTCTAGGCTTTCTTGTGTTCTAGACGTCTGTTTTGCTACACTGAGTGGGTTCCGCACTGCCTTACTCTACCTTTGTAATAACACTTGCTGTCTGGTACAACAGACCATTCCTTGATATTCTTCTTCAAGGGTATCTTGGCCGCTTCTTGGTGCTTTGTATTTTCAAGTACATTTTAAAATCTTGTACTTTATGATTTTGATTTTATTGAATCTTTATATCAGTTTGGGAAGAACTGACATCTTTATGGTATTGACATAAAACAAAGATATCATCTGTCCCTCCATTTATTTAGGTATTTAATCTCTGTGCTTTAGAATTTTCTGTGTAGGTGTTTTAGGTGTCCTTTTTTTTTTTTTTTTTAGATTAGTGATATTTTTGGATTCTACTCTTAAATTTTTCTAATTTAAAAATTTTTCATTTTCTTGGGAGTCTTATTAATACAGAAAAGAAATAATTCATGCTGTTAAACCCACTTACTCTAATAACTATATGGAGGTTTTCTTTACATACACAGTCATAACTTTAAATAATTAATAATTTCATTTATTCTTTTATGATTCTCTAGGACCCTTAGTACAATGTTGAATAGAAGTAGTATGGTAGTAGACACCTTGTCTTGTATTCTCCAAGGTAAAACTTTCAATAAGTCATCATTGAGAATAAAATTTGCTGAAGATTTTTCATAGAAGCTCTTATCAAATTAAGAAAGTTCTTTTCTCAGTATCATATGTGGATAAATCATGTTTTTAGACACCTTTTCTGCTATTTTGATGAGGTTATGATCCAACTTCTTTAGTTTGTTAACATATTGAATTACATAAATGATTCAAATGTTAAAGAAATACTTATTCTTAAACCTAACTGGGCACAGTTCAGTTTGCCATCATTTTGTTTTGTGTTTTTCATACTTTTTTTCTTCTGATGTCACTGTCAAATTTAGATGTCAAGATATACTAGGCTCAAAAAACAAGTTGGAAATATTACAATGTTTTTCTTTTACTCTAGGAGTTTTTTTTAAGATTAAAGGCATTTTCCTTCATAAATATTTAGTGGAAATCTACATAATGGGATATTTATGGTTTCTATTTTTTATTATTTCTTGTTTGTATCTTCTTGTATGCCTAGGTATTTTAATTGTGTATTGGAAATTCTATTTAAAAAATTCTTTATAGATACAAATTTGAAAACTGAGATGAGGAAAACTTTCTCCAGCAAGGTATTACATTGCTTCGACCAAGAAAAAAGGGCCTGTAGACTTTTGTCTGGATGTGTGTCCTTTCCTAAATCCTGGACTTGGAATTCCTGTAGATCTTCTGTTAATTCCTGGGTGTCTACGTGTCCCTTTTCTCGCTCTCCACAGTGGGATGGTTGGACCAGATTACCTAGGGAATCAGGGTGCAACTCAGTCCTATTTCCCACGGTTCTAGGGATGCCTTTTATCTTTTGCCTTCCTGTTTCATCCCACCTAAACTACTAGAATCTAGGGATAGTGCATTACATACTCCAGAAATACAGCACTGTCTCTTTTTTTGTTTGTTTGTTTTGTTTTGTTTTTCTACAACTGTTGTACTTTACTACATGATTTTCTGTTTTTAATTTTTTTTTTTTTTTTTTTTTAGTAGAGACAGAGTCTCACTTTATTGCCCTCAGTAGAGTGCCGTGGTGTCACACAGCTCATAGCAACCTCCAACTTCTGGGCTTAGGCGATTCTCTTGCCTCAGCCTCCCGAGTAGCTGGGACTACAGGTGCCAGTCACAATGCCCGGCTATCTGTTTTTTGTTGCAGTTTGGCTGGGGCTGGGTTTGAACCCACCACCCTCAGCATATGGAGCTGGTGCCCTACCTATTGAGCCACAGGTGCCGCCCGTGATTTTCTTTATTTACTAAAAGTTTGCTAGTTTGTTGTCTATTATTTCTCTCCTAATACTGACAGAAAAACCAAATTGTGAATTAATTTTGTTTTTGTTCAAAGAAGTGTGTAACCTTTTTTGACCTCAGAATTTATGTTTTGATGAATAAAACTAAAACTGAATGATATTAGGCTGTTTGGGCTTATGAGAGTGAGTATTGACCAATTATTTTTTAAAGCAAACTATAATAGCTTTAAATGTAATGTTGTACAATGTCTATTAAACTCTTCCTTTGCAGAACGCTTTAGATAAACAGGAAGAATTGACACCTCTTGGAGTCCACTTAGCACGATTACCAGTTGAGCCACATATTGGAAAAATGATTCTTTTTGGAGCTCTGTTCTGTTGCTTAGACCCCGTACTCACTATTGCTGCTAGCCTCAGCTTCAAAGATCCCTTCGTCATTCCCTTGGTAAGAAAGATTACGTATAGGCATTTTTAGATACAGGAAGTGATTGTTTAGATATGCTTTTTCTCAACTTTTTACAATGCCATTTTTTGTTATCAGAACAATTTTTTTATCTGTTATTTTTTGAGGGAAAAGAAAAGATTGCAGATGCAAGAAGAAAAGAATTAGCAAAGGATACTAGAAGTGACCATCTGACAGTTGTGAATGCATTTGAGGTAAGGAAAAAAAAAAGATCTTGTTCTGTATTGCAATACATTATTCAAGTGAAAAGCTAATAATAAGGGTGGTGCCTGTGGCTCAAAGGAGTAGGGTGCGGGCTCCATATACCGGAGGTGGTGGGTTCAAACCCAGCGCTGGCCAAAAACTACAAAAAAAGAAAAGAAAAACTAATAATAGGATATGAGCATATTTAACCTTTTAAAATCTATATTGTCATAATTGTCAGGAATACATTGATGAGAATGTTTAAAATTAGGTGAACATTTAAAAAAAATTATAATTAATTTTCAATTTTGTTAAAGCTCATTACATTTACTCCTTTGCTAAAAATAGGACAAGTGAAAAGTTTATTTTAAAATGATATATTCGAGGTTTGGTGCCCGTAAGTGGTTACGGCACCACCTTATACACCGAGGCTGGCAGGTTCAAACCGAACAAGGGCCAGGTAAACAACAGTGACAACTACAACCAAAAAAAAAAAATAGTCGGGAATTGTGGCAGGCACCTGTAGTCCCAACTACTTGGGAGTCTGAGGTGAGAGAATTGGTTGGTTGCTATGAGCTGTGATGCCACAGTACACTACCAAGGGCAACATAGACTCTGTCTCAAAAAAAAAAAAAAAATGTTATAGTTGTTACTTCTTGATATCCTTGTCTGACCGACATATTAGTCTATTAATAAACTATCCCCTTATTGTATACAGATACAACATTTTAAATACAGTATCATAATCATGTATGTAATTCAGTTAAGAGAGCCATTTTCTACTCTCAAAAGCTAGGCTTGCCCAGGGATAAATATTTGTCACCCATCTGTGTACAATTTCAGTGTAATTTTGTCTTTAGAAGCAGTACCTTTTTTTCTGTAGCTATAGATTCAGTTTTTTACTGAATGTAACAAGAAAATTCATGGTTGCCTTGCCCTTTAACATCATTCAATTATCTTTCCTTTCTCCCCATTTCCTCCTTTCTGTAGCTAAAAAAAGTCTGTGGATTAGAAAATATATGAATAACGCTGAAATTTAACAGTGTGCTCATTTTTATTGATATTAGGTACAATTACAGTGGCATTTTGTGTAAAATACGCCATTAATGTATTGTGCTTAATTGTATCCGGGTCTGAAATTTTAGCAGTTATCATGGGAAGTTTGCCCTTTTAGTTTGTAAATTATAAAATTCTTTGAATGTTTTACAAAGAAAATTAAATATCTGTAGAAGATTAGACCATCAGTAAAATGAAGATGCAAACCAGTAAGCAAGCTTTGCTTTAGGGAACAGTATAAGTAGATTTCTTCATTTCTTTGAAGGGCTGGGAAGGAGCTCGGCGTCGTGGATTCAGATATGAAAAAGACTATTGCTGGGAATATTTTTTGTCTTCAAACACACTGCAGGTAATGCTTAATGTTTGCAGTAGTTATCACATATCTGGGTCAGATAATGCATGTATCTACTTTGTACAAGTAGATCTGTAGCAACAGTTAAATATATAGAAATTGTATTTGTGTTATATACAAAATTAGAGAGAAAATCTTTATTAAATGAACTGTACCAAGCAAGCAAACATGCATAATAATATAAAACAGAAGACTATAACGAAGTACTGTAAGGCTCAATTTCCATTTCTTTCTCTACCTTCTAGGTGATGTTTTGATGATTCAACCTGTAAATTTTTACTAACAGTCTGAAAGTCTATTGAAAAATATCAAATAGAGTGAGATCTTTAACTTTTTTAACTTAACATAGTAAAATTAGTGCAGCATAGGTGTTTGTAAAACAGAACAAAGTAAACAGTAGTTAGGACTTGTGTGCATCACACTTCAGACGCTGCACTGAACTGAGAATCTCAAGCCAGTAGGAGTAGGAATATCTTTACCTTCTCTCATTACATGTACACAGCAGCTGTGTGCCGTGAGGTACTAGATACTAACAAGCCCACAGAGTGGTCAGCGAAGTCTAGCATATCAATTAGAAGTACCCGATAAATGAAAAAATGGGTCTTTGACACCTGTGAAAGATAATTATAGCCAAAGGCAAAAAAGAGTGGAACACAGTATGTTTCAACTGAAAAATACCTTACAACTGTCTCGTTTATATGGAATAGCTTAATCAGAATATAAATTCAGCAAAACAAAGATAAGAAACCAATAGAATGACTGAAAAGATTCCTGAGCTAAGAAAACAAATCTTAGGCCAAAAGAAAATCACAAGGAACAAAATGGACACCCCTTAAAAACATTAGTGTCATAGAAGAAAAGTTTGAAATAATCACAATGTGTACGTGTACCTGAAAAAGACAAAAAGTAAATAAATAAAATTTTATGGACAGGAGGATAGGAGTGATCCATCATGAGGACAGTAGGTGTCCCTCTACTTAAAGCGTGTGTAATTGAATGTGAGACATATAAGCACATTTCTTTGAAATGGAAAAAATGAAGTGAACCACAGTATGAAAAGGTCACTGAATTCAAGTGTTATTTGAGACTATCATGTCTAGTCAAGATAGGAAATGAAGTATAAAGAAAAAGGACAGGCATTGAGGAAGCACTCAAGATACTACACCTATGAGCTTTTCTTGAAAAACTCATTGGCAGTGAAATGCTACCTATTAAAAAATCAATCAAAGTGGAGAGTTCAGGAATGGAGAATGCATTCTAAATCAGCTCACATGCATTTATATTATTTAAAGGTAAAACTAATGCAAAATAGTGCTAGGAATTGTGCATGCAGAATATAAAGATTATTATCCTGAACAGGATGAAATAATGGTAATAAAAACCAAGAGGTGGCTATGAAAATGACTTACAAGTGGGGAAGCTGAAGTCAACAGCTTTTATAAAAGGGATATATACTTAAATGTGACCAAATTTAAGTTTTATAAGCTTTTCTTTAAACTTAAAGGGATTCTTAAAAAAATATTTCATTTGATCACGAACATGTTAGATTCATCTGTTCATTTCACTTCATTTTCCTATTTAATTTTTTAAATTGAACCAAAGTTAATTGATCATTTTATAAAAACTTCTATACTATGATCCCATCTTAGGATACATTTATGTCTAATTCTTTTGTCAGCGTATATGGATGAGTGTTTGCAATCTGCCTTATGGAGTTAATGATTATTTCTAAAGAGTGTTGAGGCAGGCTCGGAGCCTGTGGCTCAACTGGCTAAGGCGCCAGCCACGTACACCTGAGGTGGCGGGTTCGAATCCCCAGCCTGGACCCGCCAAACAACAATGACGGCTGCAACCAAAAAATAGCCGGGCGTTGTGGCAGG